CTCATCTTCATTCTCACTTTCATCTTTGCTTTCATCTTCAAACAATAATATAGTACAGTTTTCATTCTCAGGAATTTTAATTAATTCACTAACATTTTCTGAATCACATGAAATATTTTTAGGATCTTGATTTACATAAAAATTATTTAAGTTTAATATACACATATGTATATTAATATTAAAATTTATCCCCTAATAATTTACCCAAAATGGAACCAACATAAAAATATTTGAAATATTTATATTTAATTTTATCCATTTTCTAGCATAACTATTTTTTTCTTTACCCTACAAAAGTCATGACCTTTTAAACCATATATATTAATTTACCCAGAATTTTCTCTGACCTTTCGGTTTTTTTACATATTGATTTACCCAAAAATAATGTAACCTATCTATGTAGTTTCTGGGGTCCTGGTGTAGACAATAAATTATTATATACCACTACTTGAAAATCTGGAAAGTTTATTCACTAGTAGTTATACAATCAAATATTTGAAAAATACTCTACTTTTAAATATTAAATCTGTGATTATACAAGATCTGTATGGTGAACTATTTCTATTAGACTTGTGTGATTTCATTCACATCAATGGAAAAGCTCTGTGCAACACTGGTTAGTCAGCTACAGTCAACCCCCTAAGTGCACACCCCCTTGGGAATGGTGTGCAATTAGGGAATTAAAGCATTTTATTGGCTGCACATATTGGTGATTCATGTAACACTAATTAAAATTTTTAAATTACAAAAAATTCAAGATATGAATCTATCTATTGTACTTTGTTCCATTGTATTTATTTTTTTAAGCTAATATATTTTTCAAGATAATTAATTTGTGATCCACGAGTTAAGGAAAGGATTTAATTAATGCTGATCTGGGCAAATTTTTAAATTCATATAGTGAAGGCATCTATAACAGTCAATGGTTATCAAATGACTTTTAAAAGCTTATAACTCCTTATTAAAAAAGAAAAGAAAAAAGTAAACTGATAGAATTAAAGCTAAAGACCTAAGCTTCATTCCATCGGTTTACCTTATTAGAAAAGTTTTGAGTTATAAGGCTTCAAAGTTAGGCCATTTTATATATGTCTATATGTAAATTGTAAAATTTCGGATGATCTTCCCTTGTGATTTCCTAAAAGGCCGATTATCGACTTAAATTTTTTCGTGATACAGAAAATCGTTCCAATAAAAGAAATTTGATTACTTAAATTAGAAAGATCTTCTAAAATTTGGACGTGACATTTATAGATGATTTGAACCATAATGATAGTAATAATAATAGCAAACAATTTTTCGTCCCCATAGAAAGTCATGCATTTATTATGTTATATAAAACTACCTAAATCAAGGGTAAAAAACTATATTTACTTACAAAAATATGAGCTGTTAATTTTATCAGTTTTCTGTTATTTAATGAGTGGTCCTGGATTGTGGGTATGAAATTTATACATTTAAATATATAAAACAATTAGAATATGTCCCAGAAGAATATTATTGAATGTAAATTTATTTCTTTAATTAATAATGACAATGGTAGCTATTGACTTTATTGACTTTTATTGTGTTTATTTATATCCAAAAAAAACTAACTGTAATTGTTACATATAATATAGAGGGAAATTTATGATATTAAACTATCATGGGTCAAAAGGTAGCAAAACAGCTATATTAACCAAGAATTATTGAGGCATGTAAAGTTGGTGTCTGCAACTAAGAAATTACAATTTGGGATGTTTCAACCTAGGTTGCAACTGGTTACAGAATTTCAAATCAATTGCAGATACCAACTTTAGAGACATGGTAGATTTTGAATGTTAAATCTGGGTGTCCATTTTTCTGATAACTTTATGATTATAATTTGAACTATTAACTATTTTTTGATAGGCTTGTAAAGTAGTTAAAAATACATATAATACATAGTTTTGGAAGTCATATGACCATTTAATAAAAGCTCTTGCCAAGTTTTTCTTCATATAAAAAATAAAAAAAATTTTTTTCAATGAAAAATAAATAATTATATAAATAAAATTTGTTAATTCTAAAATTTTTTTTTATTTAATATTAAATTTGGAGATTTACAATTCTTTTTTAATAACAGTTTCTTTAAAAAGAAAAATTTTTAATGATAAAAATTGCACAACTTTTAAACCCTTATAAATCCTTTTTTTTACTAATAAAATTAAAGAAAACTCTCTGTCAGCTTATTCCTTAAGCCACAAGAATAAAATCATGGAAAGATTATTGCTCTATTTTGTTTAGTTATCAAGTCTATATGCTTCAAAGTTCAACTGTGATTTCAACATTTTTAGATGATTTTACTATATAATAAAATGGAGATACAATTTTTTTTTATTTATTGAAAAAGTTTAGTATATAGTAAATTTTATATATATATGATATTAGTTAATTTTGATCTACATACACATGAATATCATTAATCGGCTAACCAGTTAATTTAACCACGTGAAAATTTTTAACTGGCAAACAAATCATTCGAATAATATAACTGATGGTAATAGTAATAGTCATGCCAATTAAAAAAATTATAGTCATAGCATGGTTTCTATTTGAATAAGAATTCGTTTGATTTATTTGTTATGAATTTGAATATTTGAATTATGATGAATTTATTTAAATAAAACAAATAATTCGAATAATCCAAATAAATATAAACTGAACAATTAGAATAAAACGAATAAATGAATAATAATATTCATCAGTTAATTTTAAATTTAGATCTTACAAATAAAACGAATTAAGATTGAGTGATTGAGTTGTATTAGTATAATGAATAATTATAAGAATTCGTATTACCATATCAATTCCATCATTTTGAACATGTTAATATATAGATTATGTTTTGGTATTTGTATTTGCTTCTATAACTGATATGTATTCTAGTTAGAATAAAAATTTGCGACATCAAGGTTGACGATTGACCAGCTGTTAAAAAAACTATTTAAACGGTTAACAGTCCCAATCTCTAAACTTACCAGGAGCACCTTTCCAATACACAATCTCATCTAAGAAGATTATTATCATCTACCACACAAGTGCAACTTGTTGATTTCCATACAACTTTGTCATATCAAATTTCTTCAACACATTTAGATCATTATTTTGCATTACAGATAGATGAAGAAACAGAACCTTTATTATGATGGCAGACACACACCAAAGGATACCCAATTGTAATATTGCACAAGATTATCTTACCACCCAAGTGACGTGTTCTTGATTACTGGAAGCTCAAAGATCGTTTGTGCATGATTATTAATAAAATAGGAGATTATTAGAATCAAAAAATTTTTATCATTT